ACTGGGGTGTAGGACCGTTTGTAACAACATTACGATAACTGATTATAATAGCTCTTGTTGTGTACTTTAAACCCTGAAAATCCCATCGACGCACATCTGCAGGTTTTCACGAAAAAAAAAATACACTACAGGACTGTTTGTTATGAGTTGAGGTGTACGACTAGCTTTAGATACGAATCTACAAACTCTGCAGAACCAGTTAATGCAATACCGCAATAGCATAAGACTCCTAGCAACAGATAGAATATATATAATTACCACGCTCACCTCGTATGCGCGTCACGGGCTTGTATGAGTATCGCTACGGCCACGGCGTATCGCAGGCGGACAGCATTTATTCGGTCCGCTGTAATCGAGCGGCCGGTAGGATTGTGGAGCCAGCTTTTTGGAGCTAACTTCACACGCATCAAATCGTATTGTCTTTTTCATTGTCAACTTTTTTCTTCTTCTGGATTTCTGTATTTTGCCCAAAATCACTAATAACTTTTCTTTTTCCGCTCTTTTTCTTTAGATCTTCTTTACGCCTGTCTTTTTCTTCCAATAATCTGTCTTTGTATGGGGTAGATGACAGAATTTCCGACTTTTTAGATTTGGTTCTTCTTACTTGTTGATGGGTAGCTTTTGGTAACGGTAAAATCATTTTAGGAGTAATACAAACACTTAAACCTAGATCAATCGGTGCCGCAGACGTAGCCTCAACATAAGTCGAAATTTTGGTAAAGCCTGGACTTTTTGGACTTGGTGTTCTAGTTTGCTCATTTTGTACCTGGTTCACTTAGTTCCTTAGAAGCTGCTTTAAAGTAAGCTGTACTTTTAGTAACGTCTGAACTTTGTGGTTCGGGAATCGTAGATTGTTGTTCTTCTGTTAATTTTAAGTTTTCTTTTATTATGGTATTTCTTACTTCTGCAAGAGTGCAATCATCATCAGATGAACTCTCTTCAACAGATGATTCGATTCTTTGTATTTCAGATTGAGTTTCTTGGGCCAGCTCTAGATGTGGTCTGTCTGGGATCTCAGATGGAGCAAAATCTAAATCACTAAAAACGTCTGGGTTATAAGGAAACAACCCAGTGCAAGCAAATGATTTTTCACATATTTCTATAGTAGTGACTTTTGAATAAGCAAAATGGAAAATGGCTGCCATTTCTTTTAAAGTAATAGCATGACCATCCATTTATCGCATTCGTTTGAAAAAGCTGTTTTTAAAGGAAAGAAAAATCCTTTATCTAAGGGTTGAATTTTATGGCTTGCATGAGGAGGTGGGGTTAGTAACGACTTCTAGAGAATAAAATCGTCTCCAATGAGCAATGAGATGTGTGATTGTCCATTATTAAAACCACTGGATCTGTTTCCGATGGTTTTACAAAGTCCCTAGGTGTACGCACGAATCCTAAGAGTTCGCATGCGTACTCTTTGCCTCCGTATTCTTAGGAAGCTTGACATGAAAAATTTAAACACTGAGTAACAAATTTAGGCAACCAGAAAAACTTTATTTTATGTCGCTAAAGATCAACTGTAAACATTACTGTTTAAGGCATATTTACGATTTTTTATAAAAATTTACGATTTAATTAAATATTACTTACCCAGTAAGTTATATTTTACGCATTTGTTAAAAATTGCCAGCAAAACTACACTACACTACTCGCGAGGCGATCGCGTACTCTTATGGAACGCGTACTCTTAGGCGATCCTACCCTATAGATCAAACATTTTTTCTGGAGACATGAAGTTTTTTAAAATTTTAGGGATCTGAATCGAACGGTTCGGTCTAGAAAACGCAGTTCAAATTTTAATTAGAAAAATATAAATCTTAGCGTTTATAATAAAATATCCATAATTTTTTTTTCGTAAATGCAATGCAACTTTTCCATTTCCTTGCTACTCTACTCCTATTCTTGAAAGGCATCAGGCTCATAATATATGATCATCTAAAGTAAGATTGTTCAAGGAATTAAAAGTATCTTCCAAATGGCGATGTTTTAGTTTCTTTGGGAAGGTATTATATTATGTCAATAGTCAAATGGGTTTTTTCCTGATAAATAACCGATATAAAGGCCCGAATACGAAATTCAGCTTATATGTATAGGCCGATAGTTTGGTTTCTCTTCGTTACGGAAAAAAATGTTGGATTTTTTGTTTCGGGAGGCATGCGAATTCAATCCAATAAAATAATGGAAACATAACATTTTCCAATTCCTGGACAAATTGCGCTTTTAAATAATCATATAATGGGGGCTAATGCATTACAGGGAGAGATGTAGTGAAAATGTAAAAAATATAAACTTCGAGCGTGCCTCCAGGCCGAACTGTTCGACCTAGGACTGAAATATCTACCTAACGAATTATGAGGTCGCATTTTGGGATGCATGTGAAGCTCCAAAAGCAGGTTCCACAGCGAACTGAATAAATCCATATTTCATATTGTTTTATCGGCGTGCGATACCGGTGCCCTTTTGCGTTTCTCATAGAAGCTTCTGGCGTGCATACGAGCTGAGCGCGATAATTATATATACAGGGTGACTTTGAAGTTGAGTCATTAATTTTCAGATAATGATTGTAGAAGGAAGATAAACCAAAATATGTGTGTAAAAATAAAAAAAAATTAAAAAAAAAATGTTACCTTGTTTGATAAAGTATCCTCCCGACAAGTATTTCAGTGCGGACCTGTGCGCCCAAAAGCATGTCACAAAAACTGTTCGAAATGATTTCCGTTTTGCTCGACGCACAGCTGGGCGCGTCTTAGCCATGTCTCTTTACAAGCACGCAATAAAATCACTGGTTGATTTCTGATCACTGTACTCATTTCCTCAATTCGAGCACGTAATTCTTCGCGTGTATTAACCGGTGTTTTATACACTAGAGTTTTTAGCCAACCCCACAAACAAAAGTCTAAAGGATTTAAGTCCGGATACCTTGGCGGCCAAGGTACAAAACCGCCACGGCCGATCCAACGATTATTAAATTGTCTATTTAAAAATTCACGCACATTTCTTGCATAATGGGGTGGTGCCCCATCTTGTAAAAACCACATGTTTTGTCTAATATTTAAAGGCACATCTTCCAGTAAACCAGGCAAATTGTGTTGCAAGAAATCAAAATAATTTTCACCAGTTAAGCGATTTGGTAATTCAAAAGGCCCCACTAAAATTCCATTAACAATTCCCGCCCACAGGTTGATTGGTTCAAATCGCTGTTGAAAATTGGTTTCCCTTATTTCATGGGGATTTTCAATAGCCCAAACGTGAGAATTACGTGAATTAATAATTCCGTTTCTAGTAAAGAGGGCTTCATCACTCACTAAAATTTGATTTAAAAAATTGTCATCATTTTGATGTTTATTTAAAAGCCAATTGCAAAAGTCAACCCTTTGTTCATGATCTTCCGGTTGTAAGGCCTGCACTTTTTGTATGTGAAACGGATAGAACTGATTTTCACGTAGAGTTTTCCAAGTTTTATACTGACTAATCGCCAATTGAGTTGAAATTTGTCGGGTGCTTACTGTTGGATCATCACTTACTAATTCTAAAATTTGTTCTTCTAGTTCTATTTGATCGTGTGGTCTTGGAGCACCGGCATGATCTCCTCTGTGAGGTCTTAAGTCACCAGATTCACGAGCTCTTTGCACTACATTAACAAAGGCACGAGGGGTTGGTTGCACTCGATTGGGAAACCGATCCGCATAGATCCGTGATGCCGCGGCAGCATTTTGTAAATAAGAACCATGTCCACAAGTTCAGCATTTTCGTAAACATGTGCCATTTTTGATTTGAGCCTCGCAACAGACACGATTATTCACTTACGCGTTACCGACTACCGACTGATACTGACTGTATACAACTGAAGAAAATAATTGTAAAAAGATCGTTCCAAATTCTTTCGCTTTTTTGTTTCCGATGCGATGAACGGATAAGGCGGATTATATCTGTTGTTGCCAAACACGAGAACATAATATCATTATTGAGACAGGGCGGTACTCAAACTTCCAAAGGGCTATAACTTTGTTACTTTAATTTTACCAGAAAAATGGTAAAGGAAAAAACATTTCTTTTGATCAGATCTACTCACTGTTAAAATAAATGACTCAACTTCGAAGTCACCCTGTATAGTATGCTGCGTATGCGTATGAGTCTTATGCTGTTGCGCTACTGTAGTGAGTAGTTCTGCAGTCTTCGTACGTTCGTATCTAAAGCTATTCGTGCACCTCAACTCAAAACAAAGCCTGTCGTGTTCGGTGTGCGCCACTCCCTGAAAAACGAAAGGATGACTGCAAGCGCGTATCGGAGTAATTTTCCATAATAACTGTCGGATTTCGATTGGCCGTCTAGCCCTAATAATCCCCATTATAAATATCTGAATCTATTCTTCCCTACTGTCGGCAGTTGAAGATCTGTCAAACATATAACGCAGGTACCGATTTTTTCATATCGCACATTATTCGACGGATTTTCGTCACTTACTCGCATCCGAAGTTTCTTAAGGGCATATGCCCCTTTTATTCATCAGCCTGTTTGGAGTATTTTTAATTATTTACTTTCATGCTGTATAAAGAGATGATTGATAAGCAATATTAGCAAATTTTTCATAAAAAAATGCTTTTTTTTGACCTTTTTTTCTGCAGTCTTAGTTTAAGAACGAATAACAGTGTAGCTCTAAAATTGTATGACGATATTCCACATTTATAGTAGATCACCTTGAGATATTACCATTTTTCTTGACATTTTTTTTTTCAAAAAAACTTTTGTTTTTTCCGAAAGAGCAAACTGAGTTTACAAAAAGAAACTTACTCTAGACCTAGAAAAAGAGCAGTACAAACCATTGCTGAAAAAAACTTTTGCTAAGACGGATTTCGAGATATCATTGCTATTTTGTCTAAATTTTGAGAGAAACCCGCCTCTCGCTGGTCACGCCCACCGTGGCAGATGATTGGCCGTAATTCGAGGTGACTATGCGTATCTCTTCGCCGTGATGCCACGTTTCAGCATATTCATTCTGTTCGCTACTGTTGGAAGTGTATCGCTCGTGTACGATTTGTTGTTGTTAAGACGTTTGTTATACCTTTGTTGTTGTTTTGTGCTTGAATGCCATTTTTTATTGTAGCACTGATCTGTAAAATATAATTTTAAAGCATCATATTGCTCAAGTATTCTTTTTTTTACAACAGGCAATACTGACAACCACCTTGTTGGAGAGGGTTGTACAATTTTATGAGTTTTTACTGCAATTTCATCTGGTAATTTAGCACAAGCATAATTAACACATAAACTAAATGAATGACGAGACACATTTCATAATGAATAAATTAGGAATATCGCTTTTAGTTTGGTGGATAATGAATTATGAATTCCCATCACAGCACTTGCACCATCTGATGCAAAGCCTATTAGATTTTCTTTATAATTAATATTACATTTTAAAAAATAATTTACAATAGTGTTTTAGAGTTCCGCCATTGCATCTGCTACAGGCAATAGACCAAATAACCAGTCAGTAATTTTATGTTCATAAAAAATACGTGCCACTAAAGCTAAATGTTTAATTGCGCCTTCAGCCATCAGCAATTAATGAAAATTTATTTATTTGTAATAAATTAATAGAATTTTCAAAACTGTACTGCCCTAAAACATTATTGACAACAGCTGTAGCTTTGGTGCGAGAACATGTGGAATTTTTAGCAATCTCTGAATCGTCAAATGATTTTTTATTTATATATATTTTAATTTCTGATAAATGGTCTAAAGTATTGAATGAAATGTTGTGTTCAGCTGCATTTGCTGCAATTCGAATTTCAGCAGTTTTGATTTTGTTATTTAAAGATATTTTTTCCATAGGTATAAGATGTCGTATCAGTCAAAATTTTGTGTGTGTGATGATTTTACCAATTTGGTGTGTTGCTTTCCTGAAGAATGGTTCTGGATTTCGGATTTGCCACATATAATATCTTTATTGCATGCCTTGCCTTTCTTGCTGCTCCTCGGCCAACCTTTAAATTCAGGTTCTTGTTCCCATGCAGCCGTATATTTCTGAGTATAGGACTTAACAATTTTTTTATTTTTTCTTATGTGTCCCGCTTCTTCAGAAGACTGTGAGAATTTCAATTCATCAGCATGTTTAGAAGTTGATGGTTGAGGTGTAATTGAGGACATGATGTAACATCTGTAATTATAAAGAAACAATAGAAAATAAATTTAGAAGTTTGGTTTAAAATACATAGATCATAGATATACATATTATAATAATATGTATGTCTAAGATATCAATATTTCATTAATTTATAGAAGTATTTTTTCATTAACTTTAATACTAGATAATTAATTTCTGAGTAAACTCTGAAGAACCTCCCCGATCAAGTATAATAATAGGAAAAGTTTTTGTAATAAATAAATTGGTACTTACCTATGGCAAATAAGTTCAATGCCGAAAAACGTTAATGACTATTCGTTAATAATTTTAGAGCACAAACTAAAACAATAGTTATTCTAAGGCACAGTTTTAGCACATTCCACAATCCGTACAATTACATATAAACAGCAGGAAATGAAACAGAAACCACCCGGCGGTTTATATATTATATTATAGCCCAGGTATTTCCCTTACCCCGTATGTAAAATACCGTTCTGGCATTCACCGACGGGAAATCACCGATGAGGAATCACCGACGGGGAACCACAGTGTTTCGTTAGTAATTCCCCGAATGTTATGAGTTATGATTTCCCATCCGGTTTGTTGATACAATTTGGTGTTCCTACATTTTAATATATTGTGAATCATATTTTATAGGTACAATCGGAAGGTATTTTAAAAGTAATATATATATTTGTTTCTTAGTTTATTCTCTATCTCTCGTTCATTTTTTGTCCCTGCATCTTAAAATTGTCTAGAATTCCCTAGATTTTGTACAAATTTAAAAAAGTTCCTTTTTTCCCTAAGCTTGCTCGTAATTCCCTAGATATAGGGAAAATTCTCTAGGTCTAATAACACTGGTTGCGTCTCGGCTCTCCCTTCTCCCAGGGATGATTCATTCCGATGCATCGTCGCACACCGATCGCCGGTACGCCAAGAAACAATGCATCCGAATCACCCTTGTCCGAGCTATGCGATCACGGTATGGACTGGATAACACTGACAACATCCAAGGGTCCAACTGAACACGCCATGTTCAACTGGGCGTGTACAATGCTTTTTTATCATTTCGAACCTGTCCTGAGATCTAGCGGATATTCCTGTCACCAGAGCATTGCACCCATCGCCTTAATAATAGAACGTGTTTCGCATATCAAAGATGCAACAAATATTTTAGGCTTCCCCTAACCTGTACTTTTTATGACAACGGTTAGGAACCCCTGAAAGTCAAAATCGGAGTTTAAACTTTTGTTTTTTCGTTTTTTGCCTATAGCGCGGCCTCCACTGGACTTGAACTACAAGGCTTTGCATAGTAGCAACCTTGTGGAAATTTCATAAAAATCCGAGAGGTAATTTTCAAGTAATAGACGGGCAAAAGATCAGCAGACCGACAGGCGGAAATGAGTGATATAGTTGTTCGTGATGTAGATGTCATATAAGGCCTAAAAACATAACTGGCGTGCGAAGTAAAACGGCTTTAAGATGGAGGAGTAAAAATTTTTGATTTGCCGAAGCAGCCTAAACGTCAGGAAATCAGTATATTCACCATCTTATGTTTCATTTATTGACCACTGTAAGATAGATAGATCAGAGAGACAACCAGGGCATAAGTTCAGTTCACATTTACATAATTAGTTACAGACATTTACTTCGCCAGCCATCGCGATTATGAACATCTATTTGCGGAAAGATTTATATACACGATATTATATGAAATAGGGCCACCGTATTATCTGAATCTTAGTTCGTACATACCGCCGCGTCGCTTGGGCTGGCAGCACGAAACAGACAAAATTTGTGCAAAATCCAATTTGTAGAGGTTTGCGCGCTTCGAAACTGACGCTTTGAATATTTTCGAATGAAATTTTTACAGCGTGTTGAGAACAAAACCCTACAGGGTGCTATCGATCCACTTTTTCATTTTAGGCACTTTTTAAAAAAATCGCGTTCATCAAAAAAAAAGTAGGAATTTCAACGCACCATAGATCATGTGCAAAAACAAAATTTCAAAAAGTCTCCATAGCACCCTGTTCAATTGTCTTCTGAACATGCTGTATGATTTTGTTTCAAAAATATTTGAAAATGGAGTGTCAGTTTCGGAACAGCTGAACTAGCTTGAAACTCACTGCGTCGGAACCGCCTTAATGATAATGACTTCTCCAGGAACCAAGGTACAATTCTGGTGCGTATCGCTGCAATCTGAGGGCAATTTTTGTTTGTCACTTCTTTTTGATAACTCATTATAATAGCTCTCGTTGTGTACTTTGAAATCTGAAAAACACATTAACGCACCTTTTCAACTTTTCATGGAAAACATATCTCTCAGATTGTAACAATAGGTGTCCAGCGTGCATGGCGGCTAAGCTGGGGTGTAGGAATGCTGGTCACTGATTTCTGATGATTGCACCAGATATGTATGTACTTCAATTCCTCGAGAACTCATTAACGCACTCCTTCAACTTTTCATTAAAAAAATCCTAGATTTCAGGGTGTAGCGCGCACCGTACACGATAGGCTTCTTTGTTTTGAGTTGAGGTGTACGAATAGCTTCAGATACGAACGTATGTACTCTGCAGAACTACTTAATGCAATAGCGCAACAGCATAAGACTCGCATACGCATACAGAGCATACATACGAGTATAATTATCTTGCTCACCTCGTATGCACGTCACGTGCTCCTATGACGACGCGTACGATTGTGCTTGCTTTTGGAGCTACCTTCAATTTGGAGGACATTTTTGCACTGCTTGGATAATTGTACTTAGGAGTAGCGATATATTATAGTGCCTAATGCTTTTTAGGGACATGAATAGCGAAAAAGTGACAAAGGTAACGCTAAAACCTAAATTTCTTCCGAACCCTTAGACTTTCAGCAGCGGTTAGTTTATACGCACATTTTTTACTATAAAAATGCCCATTCTGTATCATCAGCACCTATTTGGCTCTCCCAAAATCGCTCCAGGCAGGAACAGATATTATTATCCAAATTTTGGCAGGACATGTAATAATGAATATCGCAGACACGCATCTTTCTCAAACTTTTTTGCAACTCTATCGAATATGATATTTACAAAACAAAACTTATCAAACCTCCACATTATCTACAAATTTCAAACAAATTACACAATAATATTACTACTTTTTCTCTTCTACATGGTGGGATAATTAGATTAGAATAGACGAAAAATCCTATAAAAATAAAACGATTTTGGGAGAATACGTTTCATACTTTGTGTCAAAACTTTTCAAATGTATTTTGTAAAATATATAAATCCTCAACTTTTCATCTCTTACTGTTTCGGAGGTCAATGGTGGAAATATGACAAATTTGTTTTACCAATCATTCTAGAACAAATTAGGTATCTACATTTTTATCCTTCTACATATTCTGTAAAACTGTTTTTATATTGACGAAATTTCTAGTAAGTAGAAAAACAACGAATAAATTAATATCGACAAAGAGAAATTATTTCCGGAATTAATAAATACGCTCTCCCGGGCTATATCAAAACTTCTCCCCTTGAAGTGGCATATTAGAATATACCAAAAGATGTACGGTGTTCCCTTAAAAAAAAAACTATGTTATTTCCGAATGGATCACCCTTTAGGGAGCGGTATATTCCAAGAAGGTCCACAATTTTTGTAAATAACGTGTTTGATTATGTCTAATAGAAAAGGAGATAGTGTAACCAATTAGATACTAAAAACTCACTCTGTATGTCTAATTTGTTGTAGCATTTACGCCGCTGGATAGCTTGAGAAGTTTTGAAGTTTTTTTCGATGTTAATCACAACAAACTTGTGGACACTATTTCATATTTACTCTTATGTACTTTTCGGCAAAAAATTAACGATTTTTTGCAATAACCAATTAACTGTAACGAATTGGACATACCCATTTTGAATTCGCAATTCTTCTAGGCGTATAACTTTGAAGATTGATAAAAGAGGTACCCAGAATTTTTTATTTCGAGATGAGAGGCCTTTGCATTCACTGTAAATAATATTTAAATCCTTCTGTACAATTTCCCTTAAAACGGGGTTTACATTTGGCCTGATCGTTTTGTGACGTTTCTAGGTAACATATTGTACTAGCAGTTTCCCGATATGTCCACGCAGTTTCCCGATCTGTCAACTTAGATTCCACTCCACATATTTTCAAATTCCATATCTCGCGTTACGTTTAAAGTTATACAAAAGTGACTGGGTGATTAGGATTTCAAAAACTAGTTTTCCTTCAAATAAACTTAAGACTACGTCTTAAAATACATCAACAAAGTTTTACGTCTTTCTGAACTTTGTCTACTCTAACGAAATTTTGATTGCGTTCAAAATCATCAGAAACGAAAAAAAATGCAGTCAACTTTTGGGGAATTACACATTTTTTTGTTATAATATTGGTACCATCAGACATACTTAGTCATAATTTCTCCAAAATCCAGAGATACTTTCAAAGTTGTAGAAGGACCAATGATTAATTAGTTTTTTTTGGACGATTGCTCTAACGCAAAAACTAGTTTTTCATATCCATATGAATTGCCGTCTTGGGAGAGACTATATAAATAAAATGCATGTAGAAAGACAAATATCAAGGTATTGCGTCGTAAACGATTGCATCAGCTAAATCTGCTTCGGGGAACTATCTACATGTAATGGATTAAAATCGTTCGCTATAAGCGAGGGTCTATTTTAAGCCAGTCTATAATATCCGATGATTTACATGCAATTATTTATAGGACCTTAAATTGTGTCCATTATATATGCGTTTATATTATAAGTGATTCCACTGTACTTCCCTTAGTAACAAACTTTAAAAATAAAAACAATCAACAAGTATTAAAAAAATAAACAACTTACAGTTTACACGCACATTAAAGTCAAAGTAAATATTAATTTGCTATAGAGTGTCCATTTATCTCCATGCAATAATAAAGATTTTGTTCTAATCTATTCCTCACATTTTCAAGCATGTCTTGAGTTATTTGTCTACATTCAGCCGTAATCCGCTGACGAAGATCTTGAATGGAATCTGGCTTCGCAACAACAGAGTTTTACAAAT